AGATAATATTCTGGGTTAGATTCTTATGTATGTCCATATCAGGGATTAAGAAAAAGGCATCTCCTTATCATGCAACTGAAAGTTGCTGATGGCTTGCGCCATCTATCGGAATAAATACCAACTATTCTTTGATTTTTAAGTATTCCAGAATTGGCCAAATACCCATTCTTGATTAATGTAAATGTATTTGGCCAATTCTGGAATAATTAAAAAAATCAACGAATAGTTGATATTTATTCCGATAGATGGCGCAAACCATCATCAACTTTCAGTTGCACGATAAGGAGATGCTTTTTTATTAATTTATGAACCTTATCCCAGTACAATGTCATATTTGTACTCATTTTTCACGATATCAAGGATGTCAGGTGGAAAGTGATGGGTGGGTTCATCAAGAAAATTGACTCCTAGATCCATGTTTTCAATGATATTTTTTAGATAGTTTCCATTTGAATTTGTACTGTATGAGCCCCTAGAAGAATATTTGCAGTTGAAGTCACCGGCCACAATGGTTGATATATTAGTTAAGAAAATGTTTTAATGCCATCCACATTTAGGTTTATGTTCTGTGATATATAGGTTGAATATAAATTTATTTGGGAGCCATTAATGCTCTTTATGGATAGACTGGTTATTTCCAACTGAAGTTGTTGGTTTTGATGGGATAATATGTCAAGGGGGTTGGTGGAAGGATGGTCTAAACCGTTGGTTTTCGACCGCTACCACCCGGGATCGAATCCCGCATTGGACACTTTTTTTCTCATTAATAAAAATGCTCCAATGGCCCCCGATTCTTGGAAAATTCCAACCTCATCAGCGAGTTCGAGCTAAGTGCAAAAGTCGTGCTGCTTTTCACATGTGTAGACATATGATGCATTTACTATAAAAGCAGTCGACAACTTCTATCCAACATGATTATCATGGCCTATACAACGTGTACTAGGGATGATTTGAAAAATGGGTAAATATTTGTACTTTTTATGGAAAAAAAATTGCTGTTCTTTCTCCTTGTACCGAAGGTCTGTCTTGACGTTTTGTGCTATAATTGGGGATCTTCATTCTGTGGGATAGTTTAAGCCACGTTTCAGAAACAAGGGGGGGGGGGGGGCTATGTTTATATCATACACATTTAGAAATTCTGTGAATAGATTTTTTATTGAACAGGCTACAAGAATTTCAGTGAATCAATTTTTATCAATTTTTGTGTTAATTGGAACCCGATTGTAGAAAGAACTTTCTTGATTATAGATGTGATTATGTTGAGATCGCTTAAAAAGCGTTTTTAATTAGACTTTCTATGGGATTAATGGTACACTGTGTGGTTTTGAATCATTCTAGAATTATGATTTTAGGTTTTTTGACGTTAATTGATGACATGAAATTGGAATGTTTGTTTATTTTCTTGTAAAGGGGGGCACCCACGCCAATTTGCTCTGTGCCCAGTTAGTACATTCAGGAGGAGTTGTTGATGTGAAGTAGTTTTCACCATATTTTATACATCGTGGTATTTGTCGGTATTCGTACTGCGAGTGGCCATAATTTTGGCATCTATGATATTGTCCAGGATCTTTTGGCGCCCTAAATGTTTCAATTTTACAGTTAATGTCACAGATGTAAGTTACATTAAATATGTTGTATATCTGCGAGAGAGGGTTTTGGTAGAGTTACCTGTAACTCCACTTTAATGATCGCCTTACGAAGCCTGGCTAGTTTCAATGATTCAAATCCTTGGTTTTCAAGATCTTGAATTTTGAGCATTGTAATGCAGTGGTGTCAAGTACTCTTATCTACTCAGGTAAATATTCACTCGGATATATAAAACCAAGGGGTTATCCAATTCATTCGACTAGTTATATATTAACAATAGAACCTCCTTGTAGAGGACACCTAATTGCAAAGTCAAAGTGTCCTTTAGAGATAGGTGTCTTCTTACCGGAGAGTTGCTATATTGTAAAAATCGTAATTTTGTAAATTAAAACTGTCTTTTGTAGAGAGGTGTCCTCTAGCGGGAGTGTCCTCTCATGGAGATTCTACTGTATTAATCAGATGGGGCATGGGTCTATTATAAGTTGTTGTTTACAAGTTATTATGTTTTTGTCTTCTTCAAGGGTTCTGAAAAGTGGAAACTGTAATGGCGTTTCTCGAGCCAATTAGTGGCAGTACGGTAGTCATCTATAGAATGTTCCTGGACATTAATATAACGTCCAGTTGTTGAAAAGTCAAACTTTTGTTGCACAGTTTATGAGTTTATCTCTCAATTCCGACCATTCTGTTACTCCACGTATTTTTATGGGGGGCGGGGTCTTGTTGGAATCAGTAGTGGTGGTCTTTCTGGTGTTAACATTGTTATAGTCCATTGGCTGGACTGTTTCAACTGCTGTTGGTGTTATTTCTGGACTGAGAGATTGTGGCATCAATAGGTGTGGCCTCAGGGTCCATTTGTATTCCAGAGTTAGTGGTTGTGGCAACAATAAGAATGATCTCGGATTGTATTTGTGTTTTACAGTAAGAGATTGTGGCAACAATGAGGATGATCTCGGGTTATGTTTGTATTCCAGAGTTAGTGGTTGTGGCAACAATAAGAATGATCTCGGATTCTATTTGTGTTTTACAGTAAGAGATTGTGGCAACAATAAGGATGATCTCGGGTTATGTTTGTATTCCAGAGTTAGTGGTTGTGGCAACAATAAGAATGATCTCGGATTCTATTTCTGTTTTACAGTAAGAGGTTGTAGAAACGATTGCAATAAATTACGACTAAGCTGGTCGTTGAGACTTCCTTAAAAATCAAGGAATGGGTTTTCAAGACTGTAAAAGCGGTGAGAACGTCAAACTATTTGAAAAATTCCATTACAAGAGAAAGTTGCTATAAAGTATAAAATAAGATTATAAACAGTAGCAATATATTTCTTTTTCGTGCAAAGTACAAGATTTAGGATCTTTATAATCCTGTAGGATGCCTGTAGAAGGATTATAAAGATCCGAAATCTTGTACTTTGCACGAATAAACAAACACATTGCTACTGTTTATTTTCTTATTTTATATAAAAAATAGTACAAAAATTTAATTGTCCTGTAATTAGGTTTATTAATTAAGAGAAATACATCTCATCGTATCAACTAATTGCTGAAAAGTATTTAACTTAAAACAGAATTATATTTTATACATATATACACTCAGGTAAATATTCACTCAGGTATATAAAACCAAGGGGTTATCCAATTCATTCGACTAGTTATATATTAACAATAGAACCTCCCTGTAGAGGACACCTAATTTCAAAGTCAAAGTGTCCTTTAGGGATAGGTGTCTTCTTACCGGAGAGTTGCTATATTGTAAAAAATCGTAATTTTGTAAATTAAAACTGTCTTTTGTAGAGAGGTGTCCTCTAGCGGGAGTGTCCTCTCATGGAGATTCTACTGTATTAATCAGATGGGGCATGGGTCTATTATAAGTTGTTGTTTACAAGTTATTCTGTTTTTGTTTTCCTCATTCCAGCCGCTGCATCGCCGTAGCCCCCTCCGTCGGCCTCCCATTGGCTGCTTCGAACTCCTTCTTTTCCAACATTTCTCCCATTTTTGAGTTGACGCCTCGACGACTCAAACATGGAAAGGAAAAGTTCAGTAGATCCAATCGGTTGGGTCTCTTGATGTGTCATCCGTATCTTGACACAACATTCGGGGTTCCAATGTGATGTTGCTTTTGCTGTGAAATCAAAGGGTCCTCCTCAGGTTTCAATTGAACTTCTTGTGTGGGAGATCGTTCCGTCAGAGGGTCTCGACATCTTATCTCGGGCGTTATCTCTAAATTATTATAAGTAAAATAGAACACATTAAAAAATATACCAAATAATTGAGTTGTCATCTCGAGTGCGAGAGTGAACATGTTAAAATATCTAAAATAGTAAAATCAATATAAATTGTTTTTAAGTGACAAATAAAGATGAAGGTTTAGTGGGTTTGTGTTTAGAGGGTTTGTAGCATATGTAATAATATATATTGTGGGAGAATAGATAAAAGTATTATATGAAAAATTATATCGTGATAATATATATATATTTTTTCTCGTTAATTTACATTTTGTAATTATAAAAATACATTAGTGAAAAATATTGTCTCACATACATTTTATTTTTGAACTTGAAGTAGCGGTCGTCTCGGCATATTCGTAGAATATACAGTTAAACCTGTCTATAGCGCCCCCTCTTGGGATTCACCAAAATAGGGTGCTATAGACAGGTCACTTAATGTAAATATCGCATTGTACTACGTATTTAAAATCGGGCGCTATAGAGAGGGAGGCGCTATTTAGAGGGGACGCTATAGACAGGTTTAACTGTATTAATGTGTTCGAGTATTTTTATATATAATTTTATTTTATCAATTTTTTGGCGAGTTTTCAGTTTAGCCTCGACCTTTTGAACAAAGGGTATATTGTTAAACATCTTGATAAAATCGCTTTTGAATATTTTTTTCCCATTAAGCCAAATATTCTTCAGAAATCTCGAACCAGCATTTAGCAGTTTTATCTAAAAATAAAATAACATTTACAAGGCACAGAGAGTCATCTCAATTATTCAGCTTAGCTACTCGATCGAAATGGTTTAAAAAATATCTCTTATGGGTGAGAGTCTATCTTATTTGCATCTTGTCTTGAAATTATCAAATCTAATACAAAGTAATACTCGATCGAAATCTTTGGGCCATACTAGTATAAAGGAGAGGGCAATCATTGGATTTCATTGTAAAAGTAGAGGGATTCCTCGGTTGCTGTAGGCAGGTGATAGAAGTAGTCGTCTGTAGTCCTTCTTTCTCGGTTTTCACTGACATGTTCTTTTGTTTCATTCGGCGGTATACCTTGTAATCTTCGGCTTTTCCTTCGGTCGTCCATTTTAGAGTTCAATGGAAGGCTTGCGTCAGTTTAAGCAGATTGTTAGGTATTTAAATAAACAATTAAACTTATCTGTTAGAGATAAGATACGGTATTTTATATTTTGTCTTTGGATATTTAAGAATCATTTTAAACACCGGTTCTCATCCGATCACCGAAGTTAAGCAATGTCGAGCCCGGTCAGTACTTGGGAGGGTGACCACCTGGGAACACCGGGTGCTGTAGGCTATTACCTTTATCCGTTCTGGGGCTCAAAAATCATCCATTCTGGTTAGCAACCCCGTAAATAAAGATATTTCCTCCTAAGAGGCATTTATGTTTTTAATACATTTAGTACTTTGCTACAATGCATTGCGGTTTGTCTGCTTGCTACGTCCATTTTTGGGGTCGAAAATCAAACACTTTGGTTAGTAGCCCATAAAACTATATTCGTTCTCTAAGAATCATTTTCGCATAAAGCGAATGGTGCACGCGGAAGAAATAAATTGTTGTTAAGAGTCATTTAATTAAAAAAAAAATCAAATCCAGAAATCTGGGTTACATCAAGAGAAAGTGAAAAAATCAAATACGGATTTTTGGCGACTCTTTGTACTTTCCAAAAAATCGGGGTTACATCAAGAGACATTTTTTAAAATCTTTCAATGAACATTTTTAAAAGCAAAGAGGAAACTATAGAGAGAGATATGTGAAAATTATCCCGCATGTGTTTCTTTTGAACGAAAAATCGAAATTTATTTCATGGATAAATAACGATTATTTCTAACCTTAGGGATGAAGTATGAAAGGAATATGTAAAATATGTACTGGACACTTTATTTTCCGTTCATCATTACTCTTCACAATTCATCCTTTCATACTTCATCCCTAAGGTTAGAAATAATCGTTATTTCTCCTTAAAATAAATTTCGATTTTTCGTTCAAAATAAACACATGCGGGATAGTGTTCAAATGTCGTTCTACAATAATAAGCCGCATTATATTGTATTATAAAGAGATATATTTATAACCCAGTTTCCTGGAGAGCAGAACGCCAACTATCCAGGCTGTATAGCTCATTCGTATGAACTAGTGCTAAGCGCTTTTAATCATGTCTGAGTGGATTGCTGAGCAGAACCAGTTGTACATGAAGTTTAATGCTGATGAAATGTCTGGGAAGCTGGCCATAGATGCAATGTTGAGATGGGCCAGTCCAATCAGGATAGCTGTTTATATCCTTTGTCTCAGTAACGCCGGGCAGCTGAAGAGGAGATGGTCAACTGTCTATGGTTCATCCGAATAGTGAGGACAGTTTGGATTTGTGTCGGGATGTCCAAATGTAAGGCCTACCAAGTGGATGGAAGTGGTGGCTTTTCCATGATAGATTTTTTCTTTTTTTTTTTTTTTGGTATAAATTTCAGGAGATGACTTGGAATGGAGACAATTCTCCTGAGAGATCTGATCGAGTAATCCTGGGTATATATTTCTGTCCTTGACCTGATCAGTTTTAGTCGTGACTTTGAGGCGAAGTATAGTGAGAATGTGATAAGACAGTAGTAACGGCATTTTTTTCTGCCCTTTCTGCTTGTTCACTGCCGTTTTCTCCAATGGCAACTATAGATGTTTTTACTGTTTCGTACAATGTTTTGCCACATCATTCATTAAAACAGGTTTTAAAATGTAAAAATTTTGAGGTTAAAAAGTTGAAATATTATTTATTTATTTCGCCTCAGTCTACGAGTGTTACATTCGAGCACAGCTCGCGAGTCACATTGTCCTGACTATTTATTTACACATGGCGAATTGGTGCGTAAAGATCGCTCCCCTCCCCCCAGACCTTGTAGGAGGGTAAATACTATTTATGTTTCCAGTTTTCAACATTATTGGTCACACCTTGTGAAAAATATGTTTGATTTTATTATTAAAAATATTTTTAAAAAAAAAATTATAGGAGAGACAATTGACAACTTTATTGACTCCTAGTCAATAGCAAAATAATAAATTTAGAGAAAAATTAAAATACAGTATTGTAATAAAAATAGAAAATATTTACACACCAGACGAAACCTTTTCTGAAGGGACGTCAGGATCATGTACTACAAGCCGCCCTGAGTGTGGACAGGCTCTTGCTTATTGTGCAGTTTTTGTTCCCAACACGCTCAATGGCAATGTTGAGAAATTCGCACAGAATTTCCTTGTGTTCAGGCGAGAGGCGAGATTATAGGAGAGAGAGAGACGGTTAAACATACTTTATTGACTACTAGTCAATTATGAATGAAAAATAATGAGAATAATACAATGAAATTATGATTGAGGAAGGCTCCACCATCTTGCTAGAGTCCTCCTCCAGACGATGAGAGGGTCTTCTTGGACGCCCCGTATCTCCAGGCCCAGAAGTGCTTGTAGATACGGGTCTTGGCAGACGCCAGGATGGCCAGGGCGTCGTCCTCCAGGTCATGCCCGAAGATCCATCCCTGCAGGTAAGGGGGAGAGAGGGAGAGAAAAACGGGGTTACTGAATTTTGTATTCTATATGCTTCCAAACGTTATAAAATAGTTTAACAAAATATTTTTCAAAATTTGAATTAAAAATTATAAATATAATATACTAGCCGAGAATGACCCGGGCAACGCCCGGGGTTTACCCGATTAAATGCTTTTATTCAAATACTATTCGTTACAATTATAAATTGGCGCCGTGGATGTCATTCTTGTATCTTATCTTCTTATCTTTATATCTTTTATCTTATATTAATAAAATGCAAATTTCATAAGTGTACATCACTAAAAACTTTCGTTACAATGCATCAATTTCAACCAAATTTTCAACATTTATGTAAAACGAGATGGAGCAGGTTTTGCTTAACATCAAAATATTTTTCCCTAACATTAACATGCGTAACTTCGCTGTTATCGATTAAATACAAAAAAAAATCAACAGAGTTAATTTTATTTATATATAAATACAAAATTAAATTTCAACAGAGTTAATTTTTTTACATACTAGCTAATAATCTCAATCTAAAAAAATATTCAAAACAAGCAATTTTAAGATAACACCATATGTAAAACAGTCGGCCAAGAAAACAAATAACGTGTAATATATATATAATATAATATATATATAATAAAATCTTAAATATTATTTATCAAAAGTAAGATTATCTCAGGATGACACGGCAATTTATTTGAGACAAGAATAATGATACAATTCCAAGGCGAAGATACTATTCCTTTAACTTCCAATTACCGAGGGAACCAATTAATATTGATTTTATTCAACTTATCGAGTATTTTTCAAGGGACCGGAAAAAAATGTTCACTAGATAAAACGATGATTTTGTAATGTAGAAAATTAGGAAAGACAAAATTCAGGATGACACGGCACACAGGGACCGGGAAAAAATGTTCACTTTATCGAGAGATTCAAATTTACAAGTTTCAAATTATCAAAATATATCTTCTTTTTTAAATAAGTTTATAGAGAATTGTTTTAACAAATGTTCGTTAGACAAACCTTTACTCGGGTAAAAACCCGGGCGAAGCCGGGCACATCCGCTAGTAATATATAAATGAGTTTTAAAAATTGTAAAAAAAAAAAATGCATCGGCCGGGAATCGAACCCGAGCCGCCCGCGTGACAGGCGAGCATTCTACCACTGAACCACCGATGGTTATGAGAAATGGCCATATTTGGGTAATTATTCCATTCACAAAAGCAAACTGTGACAGAATTGATTAAGAAAGGGCAATGCCCGGGTTTTACCCGATTAAATGCTTTTATTCAAATACTATTCGTTACAATTATAAATTGGCGCCGTGGATGTCATTCTTGTGAAACGTCCCGCTCCAAACTTTGTGTATGAGAAGCGATATTTTTATAAAGAGATGATCTGGCTTTGCGTCTTCTGCTCGAATGAATGTTTTTCTGTTAAAATTTTGTTCCTGCATACTAAAAATGAACTGGCTTCACCCGTGGTCTCTGCTTTTTGGAATTTTTCCTGATATAATTTTGTATCTGATAATCAAATATGATACAGCAATATTGTCATCATTATTTTCTGAATAAAAAACACCTACTTTTTTCCCAGAACCTGTCAATTTATTTTTCTTGACTAAAAATCCGAAAAATATATTTTCCAGATTTTTCTCTATGTCCTATTAAAACACGTTTTACATGTCCATTAGGTCAGCTGATATTATCTCCCATCTTCACCGCTAGAGGCCCTGCTTGCGAGCGAAAGGGCAAATTTGCCACGCAATTTGCAAATAACTTGTATACATACTTGTATACTTGTGTACATAGACCGTAAATCTGTACATAGACAGGAAAAGCACATATATTTAAATAATATAAATGAGTTTTAAAAATTGTAAAAAAAAAAATGCATCGGCCGGGAATCGAAAGTGAGGCGTTAATTTGAAAGGGAGAAAAATCCTAAAGTTAATAAAAAATAATCAATATCAACATATATAGTCACGACCCTCTTTCCTCAACAATTCCTCATCTCTGTCACGGATGCGCGCGCATCATCATTATGATCATTATCATTATCTAATGATAATAATAATAATTTTTATTATTATATTATTATTATTATTTATTATCAACATATATAGTCACGGCCGTCTTTCCTCAACAATTCCTCATCTCTGTCACGGATGCGCGCGCATCATTATTATGATCATTATCATTATCTAATGATAATAATAATAATTATTATTATTATATTATTATTATTATTTTATTATTATCAACATATATAGTCACGACCGTCTTTCCTCAACAATTCCTCATCTCTGTCACGGATGCGCGCGCATCATCATTATGATCATTATCATTATCTAATGATAATAATAATAATTATTATTATTATTTTTTTATTATCAACATATATAGTCACGACCGTCTTTCCTCAACAATTCCTCATCTCTGTCACGGATGCGCGCGCATCATCATTATGATCATTATCATTATCTAATGATAATAATAATAATAATTATTATTATATTATTATTATTATTTTATTATCAACATATATAGTCACGACCGTCTTTCCTCAACAATTCCTCATCTCTGTCACGGATGCGCGCGCATCATCATTATGATCATTATCATTATCTAATGATAATAATAATTATTATTATTATTATATTATTATTATTATTTTATTATTAATATATATAGTCACGACCGTCTTTCCTCAATTCCTCATGTCACGGATGCGAGCGCATCATCATTATGATCATTATC